TTACATCTAGTATTCATTAGTAGTACTAGATCCATTACTCGTAGTACTAGTAGTACTAGTAGTACTAGTAGTACTAGTAGTACTAGTAGTACTAGTAGTACTAGTAGTACTAGTAGTACTAGTAGTGCTAGTAGTACTAGTAGTACTAGTAGTAGTAGTAGTAGTAGTAGTAGTAGTGGTGGCACTGGTAGTGTAGTAGTAGTAGTAGTAGTAGTAGTAGTAGTAGTAGTAATACTCGTACTTGTACTAGTACTAGTACTAGTACTGGTACTAGTACTAGTAGTAATAACAATAATCATAATAATAACAACATATATATATATATATACATATGTACTATTATCTTCTGACATACCATATTGTTGTACACAATATACTATCCGCTAAAGCATCTTATGTTATACTATACTACAGTCTATGATATATTACTTTATCTTGTATTATATAATTTTATATTATATTATATGAAATGATTATACGACATTACATTATATTATGTTATGGAGGTTTGACTATATTATATTATATTGTATTGAACTGAGGTATGTTCTATTGTGTTTAATTTAGTATATTATATTATATTATATTATATTATATTATCTTATCTTATATTAGATTATATCATATATTATTATGTTATATCATAATACATTATATTATATTGTATTATACTATACCATACTATATTGTATTATATAGGGTGTTGGGGTCTTGAGGGCTTGAAATTGGGCTTTAGGGTGTTGGGGTTTTCAGGGCTTGGGGCTGAGGGCTCGAGAGTATGAGCAACGTTGGCTTGCCTTTTGATCGGAACGAGGCTATGACATGAAGTCCTTTTTCCGCAGTGCGGCCCGGCCGCCTTGCGATGATCTCCAAACCGAGGACTCCAAACACATAGAGCACCTAAGGCAGTTCTAGGGTTTAGGGACTTGAGGTGCAGGGATCAGGAATTAGAGCAAAGAGTTCAGGCACAGCATTTGAAGTTTAGAGTGCCAGGTTGAGAGCATGGTATTAGGGTTTCAGGGTTTAGTATGCATCCATCCGTTCGTTCATACACAATACCAATGAGCCAAGCGCATGTAGTATGTCTGAACGCATGCCTTACTGATACAATACTCGGGTGCAGGGGTCATATATGGTTTCGCTATCTCAAAGATGTATGCATGTATGTGTATGCATGTAACCATATCTATAATATATATATATATATGTATACACAACATGTGTAGAAGTATGTGCAACTCAAGCCAAGCCAAGCCAGGCCAAGCAACCCAGGCGACAAACAGGCCAAGCCATCTGCAAATCTCCTAAATCTAAATAGCTTGTCTAGCAGAACCCATGGTCTCAAGAAAAGACCTCCCTAAAACCCCTAAACCCTAAACCCTGAACCCTGAATCTGAACCCTAAGCCTTTTTAAAGGCCATCTGAGCTACTAAAAACAGCGGGCCGTTGATCAACCTGCCTCCAAGAAGGAAAACCTCATACAGAACCATGCCGGAAACTGCAAATCCATTTGACAAGCAAGCTGAAGGTCTACTCGAAGCCTAAAGCCATCACCGAGCACCAGTGCCAACAAGAGGAAGGTGGATAGCACCGTGTCCAAGGATGTGAGCAGACCATGCACCAAGCGCCACAGGGGTCGCACCTTTGCGTTCGAGGGTTTTCTAGAGATCAAGGTTTCGACATCCCGATCACTCAACCCCTACCCGTAAGCATCCTTCATCCCTAAACATAAAACTAAAGCCACCCCGCGTCACCTGCCGGACCATGCGGAAGGTGCGCACCAGGCGGATCAAACGCAACAGTCTTAGAAGCATGAGCTGCTCTGCAGACTCGCCAGAGATGAGTTCAAGGAGTCGCTCCAGGTAGGAGCTCAAAACCAGGAGGAGATCAAATGCGAACCAACCGTCGAAAGTCTGGCGAAGCCTCAGGTCAGTCTTCACACTGCTGTAAATTGCCTCAGGCGCGCCTCTTGCTCTGCTTGCGACGAGTTCAATCTCATACGCTCAATAATGTGTCTTATTATGACTTGTGATACTGACACTGCCCATACAGTGTGAATATGACTGGCACCAGTGTCTTTATGATGCCCAAGACGTCTGCGACGATGGCAGCACTTACTCCTATCTTGATTGCCACCGAATACTACCAACATCGTCCTAACTATAACCGTAATCATCGTCATCGTCATCACCATAATCGACATCGCGACTTTCCCGGTAGTTCTTGCTATCGTCCGTAACAATGGCCTCGTGCTAGTGGTGGCGGGACTGCTGCAGCTGCTCGCTGTGTTTTTTTGCTTTACCGTGTTTTTTGCTTTAGGGTTTAGGGTTTAGGGTTTAGGGTTTGCCATAAAAGTCGTCACCACTATGCACAACAAATCATCGCTGTTGCTGGGAAAGGCCTCTGCCCGAGCCTTCCACTGTCCAACTGCGCATTCCACAAAATTTCGGAGTTTTGGATTTGAGGCTTACGATGTACGTTTGGGCCGTGCCCCTTTCCTTAGGGAATGCGAAGCCACCTCCCAGCGAACGCCACCAAGCGCATGATGATTTCTATGCTGTACACAACCAGGAAGAAGTTCTCTGCCGCAGGCGCCCACTCCAGCACCTCGAGTTTACGGAATTGGGAGCTTCGAGATCGCGAACCCCAACAGGGAACCCCCAAAACTCCTAAAACCCTCCCAAAACCCAAAACCCAAACCCCCTAAACCCTAAACCCTGAACCCTAAACCCTAATAATCCTGGCAACCCTGAGGCCTCAAGCCCTAAAATCTTTACAAAACCTCCGGCGGATTCTTCGCGTCTCCGGGGTTTCGGAGGAGGGTGATGCGGTTCCCGGCGAGAACAAGTGCGCAAAGCGTTCTCTCAGGCTCCCAAGAAGGGGGGGTTGTTTTCACGGATGTTAGAGGGGGTTTAGGGTTTAGGGTTTAGGGTTGTTCACGGATTTTAGAGGGGGTTTAGGGTTTAGGGTTTAGGGTCGTTCACGGATTTTAGAGGGGGTTTAGGGTTTAGGGTTTAGGGTCGTTCACGGAGTTTAGAGGGGTTTCCACAAGGAGGGCCGTTCTCGGCAGCTTCTTAATATCAAAGCTATGCTATGACCTGCTGCTACTACGGCTGATGATCTAAAATCCTGCACTACCCATATGAAGGAATATACCAGAATTCCCGTAGTTTAGAGTCCTTAAGAAGGAATATACCACAATTCCCCTAGTTTAGAGTGCTTAAACCCTAAACCCTAAACCCTAAACCGGTGATGCAGGAAGTATATCCTCAATCGTAGCTCTACCATCGCTACCGGACACGCTGCGACTCAGGGAGCTCGACACCCTGCGCAAGAACCGCCTGGCCTAGGACCCTGAACCCTAAACCCTAAACCCTGAACCCTAAACCCTAAAACCCTACACCTTAAAACCTTGAAACCCTAAACCCGCAAAACCCTAAACCCTATAAACCCCCCAAGCTCAACCCCCAAACCCCCAAACCCCTAGACCCAACACCAGCCCTAAACCCCTAAACCCCTAAACCCTACACCCCTAACCCACTTAGGAGTCAGCCCTTGAAGCTTAGAGTCCAGGAGTTCAGTCCGGGAGTTCGGGCCTTCAGATTTAGGGAACCTTTGGGGTTTAGGGTTTAGGGTTTGGGGGTTTAGGGTTTATGGCTTAGGGCTTTGGGGGTTTAGGGTTTAGGGCTTTGGGGGTGTAGGGTTTGGGGCTTAGGGCTCAAGGTTTGAAGTTTTAGAGCCCAAGGCTTTAAGGGACAGGGGTTCAAGCTTCCAGACCGTTGTACAACACCTTAAGAAACCCTGTCAAGCCTTAAAAAATGTTAAGTTGCAAAAAACCGTATAAAAACAACACCCTACATGTCCTAAACACTGATCAACACCTCGTCAGGCCTTCTGAAAGCTTAAAAAAACACGGGCCCCTGCAAAGCCTTCGCAAAGCTTATCAACAGAAACCTACAAGGCCTCCCAAAACCTTATTCAAAAAGCCCTATAAGGCCTTCCACAACCCTTGCACAAAAAAACTATAAGACCTTCCAAAAAGCATGTAGAAAGCCAGAAAGACCTTCCAAGACCTTGTAAACCCCCTTACAAGGCCTTCTAAAACCTGGTATGAGCCCCATAAGGCCCCTAAACCCTAAACCCCTCAACCCTAAACCCCTAAACCTTACACCCTAAACCCCAAACCCCAACCCCCTAACCCTAAACCCCAAACCCCAACCCCCAAACCCTAAACCCCAAACCCCAAAACCCTAAACCCTTGGAGCGACCCGGACCCTGGCCTGGTCAGTCAGGCCGAGCTGGCTTTCGATGCCAATGACGGCCGCGTTGCCTCCGGGTGCTTCATTGGAGTGAAAAGGGTTCCGCGTTTAGGGTTTAAGGATTAGGGGGTTCCCCCTAAACCCTAAACCGCGTTTAGGGTTTAGGGTTTAGGGATTAGGGCTTGGGCCTTAGAGGGTCTAGAAGTTTGGGTCTGGGGTATGGGGTTGTACGCTTTAGCGTCCGGGGTTCAGGGCTAAGGGTCTTTAAAAACTTTAGCAGCTCGAGTTTTAGGGTTTAGGATGTGGGGTCTAGGCTCCAGTGTAGGGTCTTTCGATGCCCTGTACACATGCTTTGTAAGAGTCGCACCGCAGTATTTGCTGGATACTACATACCCATAGGCGCCATAGTAGTTCCTTTTTGGGATTACCTAATAGGCTCCTAAATATACGCCACAAAAGGAACCCTAAACCCTAAACCCTAAACTTATAGGCTCCTGAATATAAGCCACAAAAAGGAACTAGTATGGGGCCTATGGGTAGGTTCAAGAAGGCTCTTCGGCTTCAGCGACTTATGGGTAGTTCTCGAAATTAGGGTCCCGTTTAGGGTCCTTCTCATATGGGGTGCCGTACCTTTTTTGAGTACCTCAAAAAACACCCTAATTTAGAGAACTACCCTTATCCATGGCTTTTGAGTTTTAGGCTTCAGGGTTGGCTCGGTCGTAACACGGCTTTCTACGGGACGACCGCCGGGGTGCCGATGATCACCGACAGGATCAGGAATTCGAAGAGGGTGCCTCCAGCTGAGATTGCTGGGCTCAGGGTTTGGACTTCAAAAGCGGTTTAGGGTTTAGGGTTTAGGGTTTAGGGTTTAGGCAGTTCTGAGCAGGTCTTCAGTACCGCAGGGATTTACACAACACCACAGGAAACCACCGATTAAGCCCCAAACCCTCCTGACCTCTTGCAGACCTCCCTGGAACCCTAACCGTAAGGTTCCGGTAGCCTTTGAGCCTTTTCTCTCAGTTCCAGGACCAAGCTTCTGGTCACCGCACGCCGGCATACGACTTGCGCGAAGTGCCACCACCCGCTCGAAAGAGTTGGGAGCTCCTTGCAGGAGCTGCTCTTTGAGCTTTGAGTTTGGACTTTCTGTGGGGTGTTGGACTTGGCACGTTAAGGATTGGAGATTCATAGGTAGTGGGGTTATAACCTACCCATGAACCTCCAAGTATGGCACTTAAAGGACGGCGTGGAGAAGCTACTCAGATACTCATTGTCCGGGGGCGTATGCACGTGCTCTGGGACGTCAGAGGCAAATCGAAATTGTAAAACATTCAAGTGGTACTACTAGCTTCGGTTTAGGGTTTAGGGTTTGGGGCTAAAGCTGCCCATCATCATCATCATCATCATCATCATCATCATCATTATGGTCAAGTTGTTTATCGAAAACCTGCCATCTACAAGCCACATCATAGATGAGTTATACATAGGTCATACAAAAGATGTAAGAGTAGCAAGTAGCAGTCATGATCATCGCAACACTTCTACGAATCATCTGGTACCCGAAACCCTAACCGCCCTAACCTTTACTTCAAACCCGACTGGAGCTTTTTGCGGGTCTTTGGACTGAGCGTAGTGTTCAGGGTAGTAGGGTCTGGTATGAAATTTAGACTTTAGGGCTCAGAGTTAACGAGTAAACTAGACCCTTCAATACTCTTGGGTCGCCAAGTCTCCTCAGAATGCCCCATCTGCGATAGCAGAGTGTGAGTAGTGACAGTAGGTTTCGCCCGCCGCTGCGCAATCTGACCCAGCATGAAATCCTGGGGATGAGTTTCAGATTTCAGGGTCGAGGCTTAGGCTCATCTTGAAAGCCCCTGGTCTAAAAGAAGGCTGCCTTCATTGTCATGATTGCGTGGTTTCGGGTCCCTGCGGAATCGTATCTTATTCCGGCTTCTACATTACTCCAAACTCTGAGACTCCAGAAATCACTGGTCTGTGGTCGGAGAACTTGGAATGAACCTGCTAGGGTTTAGGATTTAGGGTTTAGGGCTTAGGGCTCAGGGCTACGGGTTTAGGGTTTAGGGTTTAGGGTTTGATCTTGGACCAAACGAATGCGACCCCATATGTCCAATCCGCCTAAAAGCTTGCAACCCTGAGCCTGATCCTGAACAGTCCCAACATAATACGGGGGCCTACATACGTCCGCACACAACAAAAACCGACATACATACATGTATACAGAGACACATGGATACATACGTAGGTTAAACGTAGATAATTACGCGGAAATGCAGATAAGTGTATACATATACATATACATATACATATATATATATACACATTATACATACATACATACATACATACATACATACAGACATACATACATACACATGCATACAGACATACACATATACAAATACATGCACATATACATATGGTACTACGTATACATGCAGGCATAGTTAAACATGTGCGGATATAGACCAACATGTACCATATACATGGACCTAGACACAGGCATAGGCATAGGCAGAGACATATAATAATACGCACAGACGTACATACATGCATACATATACTGTGCATATACACACTTACATGTACATAGAAATAGATAGACATACTTACATGTACGAATAAGTAAGTCTTCAATGATTTTTTATGACCGCTATGCAACCGCGACAAGGCGCCGAACGCACCGACGGTGATGAAGGAGGCTCCGCAACCAGCGGACCCTGGGCAACTCTAGAACAGAACGCCTCGGGTTGGGGGGGGTTTAGGGTTTAGGACCTTTAGCGCTTAAAGATTAAAGCTTAGGCCTTAGGAATTGGGTTTAGGGATTAGAATTCAGGGTTTAGGGTTTAGGGCCGCTCAGGGCTTCAAGCCGATGCCTGCGGCTCGCCCTTGATGTCTGCAAGTTGCTCCGTCACAACAGGCTCGGAGAAAGCCTTTCCGCAGCGTTTGGGCTTAGGGGCCCCATGGAACCCAACTCCCCACAAAGTACCAAATAGCACACACCCCCAACACTAAACCCTAAACCCTAAACCCTAAACCCTAAACCCTAAACCCGAAACCCGAAACCCTAAGGCCGAAACCCCACCCTGTAACGTCAACGAGGCTAGGCATCCGAACCCAGAGACTCCAATATCCCTTAACTAAGGAATATACCTTCAATTATAGTAGGATCCTTAATATGATTTAAGGTATATTCCTTAATTAGGGGATATTGGAGTCTCTGGGAAGCTCCCCCTGGCTCCGAAAAGGACTTCGAGGTTCGGGCTCCCGGCTCTAAGGTTTGGGTTCACGAACCGAGGGTGCATGGTTGGAGGTTTAGGGTTTGGGGCTTGGTGTGTAGGGTTAGGGTTTGGGGTTCAGGGTTTAGGGTTTGAGGCTTGGGGTTTAGGGTTTGGGGTTTAGGTTTAGGATTTAGGACTCCACCCAGGACCCAGACAGCAAAGCACCTCTGAAAAAAAAGGCAGCATGAAAAGAGGTGCCGTCCCACCGGAACTCTAGACGTTGAGCCCTACACCCTACGGCCCTACGGCCCTACGACTTCATGCCAACCCCACCCCCCCAAAAAAAGCGCCTCTTGAGCCGGAGCGGCGGCTGTCGGTGCCGGATGCAACTTCCCGGCCAGCTGCGTTAGAACCAATCGCGATTGCAGCAGCGACTGTTCGGCATGCAGCAGGGAAGCCTGCATGGAGCAACGAGTGGACGAAGAAGAAGGAAGAATGGTAACAAGGATAGCAGGAAAAGGTTTTTCATCATCATCACCGTCATCATCATCATCATCGTCATAATCCTCAATATTGTCGTTGTCATCATCATCTTTTCTTTCTTCACCATCGTCGTATTTTAGTATTACACTTCATCACTTCTATTATTGCTAGAATGTCAATATTGTTGTTATTATTGTTAGTACTACGTAGTAGTAAAAGTAGTAGTCGTAGTAGTAGTAGTAGTAGTAGTAGTAGTAGTAGTATAGTAGTAGTCGTAGTAGTAGTAGCAGCAGCAGCAGCAGTAGTAGTATGAGTGAGTGAGTGAGTGAGTGAGTGAGTGAGTGAGTGAGTGAGTGAGTGAGTGAGTGAGTGAGTGGGTGGGTGGGTGGGTGGGTGGGTGGGTGGGTGGGTGGGTGAGTGAGTGAGTGAGTGAG